TATTTCTATGAGTTTGGCTTTTTCCTTCTTCAGATTACACATATAAGTAATATTATGCTGTATTTGTCTTTCTTTGTCTGGCTTATTTCACTTAACATAATGCCCTCAAGGTTCATCCATGTTGTCACAAAAGATAAGATTTCCTTCTTTCTCATGGCTGTATAATATTCCATTGGGAAAAAAGTGCACGCACACGTGTATGACCTTTATACATTCATCCATTAACAAACACTTAGGTCGTTTCCATGTCTTGGCTATTGTGAATAATGCTGCAATGAACAAGGGAGTGCAGATAGCTCTTGGAGACAGTGATTTCATTTCCTTTGGATAAGTACCCAGAAGTGGGATTGCTGGATCATATGGTAGTTCTACTTTTAATTTTTTGAAGAGATTTCATATTGTTTTCCATAACAGTTGTACCAATTTACATTCCCACCAACAATGCACAGGGGTTCCCTTTTCTTTGCACCCTCACTAACACTTGTTATATATAGTCTTTTTGATGATGGCCATTCTAAGAGGTGTAAGGTGATATCTCATTGTGGTTTTGATTTGCCTTTCCCTGATGAATAGTGATCTTGAACATCTTTTCATGTACCTTTTGGCCATCTGTATGTGCTTTTTGGGAAAATGTCTACTTCGGTCTTCTGCTCATTTTTAAATTAGACTATTGGTTTTTTTTTTGCTATTGAGTTGTGAGAATTATTTCTATATTTTGGATATTAACCCCTTATTAGATATATTATTTGCAAATATATTCTCTCACATAGTAGGTTGCCTTTTCATTTTGTTGATGGTTTCCTTCACTGTGCAGAAGCTTTTAGTTTGGTGTAGTCCTACTTGTTTGTTTTTGCTTTGGCTGCCAAACCTAAAATATCATTGCCAAGATCAATGTTGAGGTTCTTCCTCTGATGTTTTCTTATAGGAATTTTACAGTTTCAGATCTTATGTTCAAATATTTAATCTATTCTGAGTTGACTTTTGTAAAATAGTCCAATTACATTCATTTGCATGTGGCTGTCCAATTTTCCCAACACCATTTATTGAAGAGACTACCTTTTCATTACATAGTCTCTGCTCTTTTGTTGTAAATTGATTGACTATATATGATCAAGTTTATTTGTAGACTCTATTCTGTTTTATAGATCTATGTGTTTTTTTTATGCTGATACTATACTGGTGTGATTACTACAGTTTGTAATATGATTTGAAATCAGGAAGTGTGATGCTTCCAGGTTTGTTCTTTCTCAGGATTGCTTTGGCTATTCAGGGTCTTTTGTGGTTCCATACAAATTTTAGGATTATTTGTTCCATGTCAGTGAAAAATGCCATTGGAATTTTGATAGGAATTGCATTGATCTATAGCTTGCTTTGAATAGTATGAACATTTTACCAATATTAATTATTTTAAACCATGGACACAGATATATTTCCATTTATTTATATTATCTTAAATTTTGTTATCAATGCCATAGTTTTCAGTGTATATATCTTTTACCTACTTGGTTCAGCTTATTCCTAAGATTTTATTCTTCTTATGCAATTGTAAAGGGCATTGTTTTTTAATTTCTCTTTGTGATAGTTCATTGTTGGTATTTAAAACACAACTGAATTTTGTATATTGATTTTGTATCATGCAGTGTTACTGAATTTGTTGATTAATTCTGTTTTCGTGGAGTCTCTTTTGTTTTACATATAATATCATGTCATCTGCAAATAGAGACAGTTTCATTTCTTCCTTTTTAATATGAATGCTTTTTATTTGTTTTACATTACTAATTGATCTGGCTAGGAATTCCAGTATTCTTTTGAATAAGAATGGCAAGAGTGGGCATTCTTGTTTCATTCTTGATCTTAAAGGAAAAGCTTTTTACCGTTGAATATGAGGTTAGCTGTGGGCTTGTCATATATGGTATTTATTATGTTACATAGCTTGTTAAGAGTTTTCATCCAACAAAGTTTTAAAACATTAAAGTTTTTAAATATTATACATTTAAAAACATTAAAGTGTTTTAAATATTTTACTCCTTTAAAAAAGGAGTAAAATTTCCTATACAAATATAGGAAATTCTAGTTTAACAGACTTGGTTGTTTTTGACACCCAGTAGAATTTGATAAGTAAATAACTAGGTCCAGATTTTGAAGGAACATGGTTAAAAACCTTGTTTAAATTAGTATCTACTGAGTCTCTGATGTTGCCCCTGAGAACAAATCGGAGAAACAAGAGCACACAGTAAAAGCTAATGATATATTGCTCAGTGAAAAGTAGGTTGTAAAACAATAGAGTACAATATTATTATTGTAAATATGTAAATAAAATATGTAAATATGTAAATAATTAAGAGATAAAGCATAGAATACAAAGAAAAATTACTGGGAGATTCCATTTCAATATATTAGTGGTTTTATCTGGAAATTATTTTTCCTTCCTGGCTTTCTTTTTTACGTTTCTAAATTTTATGATTAAGTTACATACTTTTTTAATTGCAAGAGAATAACAAAAAAAAGTTATGAGAATGGAAATATTGATTAATCTGTTGATTTCATGTGTGGGATAATGTGAAGGAATGATGTCTCCTTTACTGTATTGTAGCATTCTTATAATATTGCTGTTGCTATATTTATTACCTGGAGTTTTCAAAAATATTTTATCACCAGAATCACCAAAGACACAGTTAAAAATGGATACTTGGCCCCACCATTCTGATATAATAAACCTGGGTTGGGGCTGGTAATCCAACCTCAAGGAATTGGTTAAATTATGACATAGTCATGAATTTCCAAAACATATATCCTTTAATAATGAGGTTGAAGAGACTAATTGGGAAGTCATTTGTAATACTTAAATTAAAAAATATGGTTACAAAATAATGATACAATATTGTAAAGAAGAGGAATTTTTACATGCACACACACACACAACTCCTGAAAGAACATATACCAAAATGTTAACAATAATAACTTGTGTAATGGGATTATTATTTTTATTTTCTTCTTTTTGATTTATTGCCTTTTAAAAATTTTTAAAAACTTTTTACATGTTGGTTTTGTAATTATTTTAAAATCATTTGCATCCCTTTTTTTAAGTAAAAGTAGAATTGCAAAAGATGAAAAATTGATATGAAACTTAATAATGGAGATAAATTTTTAACCGAAGAACCATTCTGTTTTCATAAAAGAGAAATACACATGGTAAGATTAGCTAAGTGAGGGTTTATAAATTAGAACAAACATTTAGAAGATAGTGGATCATTAATGTTCAGGATACATTGTAAACCTAATCTTGATTTGTATTTCCAACAAGAATCCCTCCCTTTACCCAACTCCAAATTTCTTGACAGTAGATGACATTCCACTTGAGCAGAATAGGAACTCATTAGGTGTATTTACACATTTATTCCCCAACAAGATTTTTTCTCAAACTATCTATCCCCACGTGGATTAGCCCTAGGGCTTCACAGCTCTGCCTCACCAATTGAAAATAGTTTCATCAGTTCATTAGTCATTTCTCCAAATTTACATTTCAGATGTATTTATTGGGTGGCTGCTGCATTAACACCATGTTTTGAAGAATAGAGATAAATAAGGCTCAAACCCCTAAACTATGCCCTAAAAGAGTTTGATATAGAGAGATGGGCATTTTAAAAAATTGACAAATTCAGTAAAATACAATGATAGGCTAAAATCGTGAGGTTAGAGTAAAGGTTCCCATCCCTAGCTATACATGAAAACAACTCTGGAGGCTTTTGAAAAAATAGAGATGCTCGTCTCCACTATAGTGTGGAATTACCAGGTGTAGAATGAGAGTCCAGCATCCAGATTTAAAAATTTCTTCCCAGGTGATTCTGATGTATAGCCAATCGTCGAGGCCCACCGTATTACAGTAAATAATTCTGCCTGTGGGTGTTCCAGAACACAGCAATGAGGAAATGTTGGTTGAACTGAATCTTGGAGAATGAATAGGAGTCTGATGTCAAAAGGTAATCTAAACAGAAGAGATGGGAGGTTTCAGTGTCAGGAAGCCAGGCCAGGACCAGGATGATCTGGGAATCTGTACGTGCTTCAACATGGCGGAGTGCCCAGGACATAGTGTAGGTCATGCGTGTGAAAGGATTAGCCCTGAAGGGTACCCAGGCAGGGGTGGAGAGCGTGAAGGGCTAGAGCTCTTGGTGAACAGAAAGTGCTGTGCGTTAGGGATCCAACGTGGCCAGAAGGGAAAGACCTGGTCACATGCCAGTGGTGGAGAGAGAAGAGGTCACAGGCAATGAGGACCACTGGGCAAGATTCGAGAGAGATTTCTAAGGCAGAAGTCACCAAATTGGATAACTGTGCATGCTATGTTACCTATTAGTAATATCATTTCTGATATTTTTTGAACCTTTACTTTTGTATTTTTTTCCTCAAATAATAGAAAGCATTCCTTTGTATTTACATATCCCTAGCTATTTTACCTTTTCTCTGTGTCTAGAGAATACTAACCGGAAAAAAAAGTGTCACTATGATAATAGAACGAGACTTTAGATAGACAGACAGACAGACAGATAGATATAAATATATAGATAGAAGTAGATATAACTTTACATACACATATATTTCGTATTCATATGTATACACACACGCACACACATAAACATATGTGTGTGTATATATAATTTTTATCATCAACAATCACCTTCCCTACAGCACATACTGAGAATAAGCCTGGAAGCTTTACGAGGACAGTGCTAAAAAAATTTGATAAGCCCACTTCCCGTCTGTGTTCCGTTACGCTCTCTCCTTGATATTTGTGAATGTAAATATGTCTGACAAGTATAAATAAGGATGTCACACCTCAGAGTAGTACCCATTTCCACCTTGCCATTTCTTATCATATGTGTGTTCAGAGATGAACGTGCTGTTTTAATCTTCCAATATTTTCTCAGTTTGAATTTTATACAGGGCAGTGGTGAGTTCTGTAGTTTCCAAGGTGTAGAAACAGATTTGCTACTTCCTCTTCACAGAATTCAACGCATTTTCAGATACCTTGAAAAGATGCCGGAATGAGAAAAAAGAATACTCGGTGTTCAGCCAACGGACAGAAGAGGCATCTGCTGCACAGTACTTCCAGGTCAGGGAAGTTGCCCCAAGTGGAATCGACTTGTTTCAAGGTGACACACCTGGGCAAGGTGGTGGGTAGAGAAGAAAATTGATATTGTGCTACAGTGTCTCCAAAAGTGTGGTCCCCTGACCAGCAGCAGCATCACCTAGATTGGAATCCTCACTCTGTCATTTATCAAGTTGTCAGGACTTGAGCAATTTTCTGTATCTTTCTGAGTCTCAGTTTCCTCAGCAGAGGAACATAATTCATCTGATCGTTGTGATGATTTAACTCGATTTGAGGATGTATGTGAAGCACTTAACATGGTGCCTGGCACATAGAAAACGCTACCAAATGGTGACAACTACATTTATGATATTTCTTACTGTCAATGCTCATAGATTTGTATACACTACATCACCTAACTGACTCGCCCCATCGGAATTATCACCATCACTATCTTCTGCCCCACCCCCACCTTTACCCAAGAATCCTGTCCAAGACTTATTTTTCTATCAAGACCACTGAAATTCATTAAGGCCATCCCTTTTGGCCTTGGTCCCTTTTTCTTATTTCTGTTATTCTTGATCTGTGGTCTGTCATAGCCTCTGCTTTAGGAAGGGCTTCTGGGCACTTACCTGCTCAAGATCAAGGCCTGAAACTATTGTAAGGAGCAGCCTAGTCACTCTATCTCTCAAAGCCTTAGCTAACCTGTGTGTTAAGCTAAGCCTGCTTTGACCAGCGTGGCTCTAAGACCTAGAAGCTCATGAAGGTGCTGCCTCATGGGTTGTTTACTCTCCCTCTCCTTCTCTTTCC